CCCCCCCGCCCTTTTACCAGCTCCTTTCCCGCCATTTTCACCACTAAACAGTCGCTCGACGACGACGTCGACGGCGCAGCCCACGGCCACCACGGCCACGGCACGGTGGCGCCTGTGGTGCCGGCAGCGTCTGCTGCAGATGGATGGGGGAAGCCAAGGAGCGATAGCACGAGGATGCGCTAAACGGGGGCAGGGCGGGCATGGCGGGCACGCGTCGTGCTGGAGTCCAAGGGCGGGCGTCGGGCGGGAGGAGGGTGGAGCAGCAGCAGTCTTTCGGAGCCCGATCCCAATCGAGCGCGCGAGATCTTACACGACGCATGGAACAAGTATATATACACTTGAGATGTGACGCGCCTGAAGAGCAGTTTAAACACCTCTGGTGGTACCACTCCGATTGCTAATCCCCCGCGACGACGGGTAGGACGTGGGATTAACGGTTCATTCACATCGCGCCATGAGCAGCCGTACTTGGGAGCCGCCCGCTACCGCTTCGCTACCGGCGATTAGCCCGTGCAGAGTGTATTCATATCCACGTCTGCAGACCGACTGACACACCTTCTCTGACGCTGCTGCTGCTGCTGCGGCTCCCCCGGTGCTGCTGCTCTGTCGGGTCGCGTCGTGCGGCGGCTTCCGGGAATTGGACAAGTCTCTCTAGACCCTAAACAAGGACGCGACTACTCACTCACTCGCCGTGCACCGCGAGCTGCCGCCAGCTAACCGCCGCCGCGCCCCCGACCGCAATGAGCCCTGCCCTTCTGTGTGTCATCAAGACGATGAGGCAGACAGACAGAGAGAGAGCAGGAACAGGATACACGCTGGATAGGAGGAGGATGCACTGCACCACCGCAGCGAGCAGGCAGGTCGCGGAGGGCGGGGAAGGTGTAGCGCCTGAACTGGGGCGGGTAGGCAATGCGATACACCCGTGTGTTGCGGGGTTGCCTATCCAGCATCTGACAGGCGCTCTTGGGGGTCACACGCGACACAAAGTTGTGGCACAAAGTTGTGACACAAAGTTAGTAGGCTGACAGGGGTGAGAGGGGAAATAGAAATAATCTTTAGCAACTTTGCCACATCCACCCGTGTGTCCCAGAGAAACAACACACTGCCTACTCCATCCGACCGTAGGGCGTCATGCCATGACGCCTGCGGCTCGAGCGGGAAGGCAAACCCGCAACACAGGGGGTGTTGTCTGTTGCCCACGATGCACCCAGTACCTTGTGTAAGAACGACGACGATACGGCAGTATGCGGCCGGGTTTGCCTACTCGTTACAATCGCAGGGCCCGCAACACTTCATGGTGTCGCAGTCCTGACACACGGTACCTGCACGTGTTAAATTTTAACGGCAGTGCGCTCTATCAAGACGATAAAAACTAAACACTCTTATAAATGTTTGCAATTTTTCAATAAAAGGGCGTTAGAGGGCATGCATCGGATTGTCACAAGCAAAGGCGCGGTCGGCGGCAGGTGGGCCGCCCGCTCCGCACAGCTGTCGGGCGGGGGTGCCTACCCCGAGCTCTGCAGGGGTTCCAGAAGGGGAGGAGGCGCGACAAGGCTAGCCCAGGACGTCGTCGTACCGTACCTCCAAGAGCAGCGGCGCGCCGGAAGGCTGCGGCGGGCTGCTGTATCCGAGTCGACGACAAGGTGGGTGCCACAAACACCTCCACTGCACACTGCCCACCAACACACTGCACTGCACTCTGCACTTTACCAACAACACGACACTACACTTCAGCACTCACACAAACACACACGCACAAACAGACACGGACGGACGGACGATGTCACGCGCACGCGCCCAGCACGTGTTCGGGCGCGGAGCGGTACGAGCGCGGCGCCGATGTAGAGCCCCGGGCGCTCCGAGCGCCACTGGCAGCCAAACTCGGTTAGGAAGAACACGCGCTCCGCGAGCCGCTCCGCGAGCGGCGCCGCAGGGAGGGGGGGGGGGCGAGTGGACGGGCGGAGGGGAGAGGGGCGACGCGACGTGGTGACCATTCCCTCCTCCCCTCCCCCCCTCAGGATATGGGATGGACCTAGATGGCACCGCTGCACTGATGCTGATGATGCTCCTGGAGTCACTTTTGTTTAGTTCATCCGCATGGTTCATCACAGTCCGGAACACGGCACCAACATCGCAAGACCGCGCTCGCCGGCAGTAATTATGATTGCCATATTTACGCCGTTTTCAAGTCGCGCCTTTGAAGAAATACAGTGTTGTTAATTTTTTGAACGTTTTTATTATCACAACTTTTATCACGATTCGCTGCAATGAAGAATAAATAAGCGTAGGTCGTCGCCGTGTCGTTGGTCGCCGTCTACGCCGAGTGCGGCATCTTGAGCCTGAGGAACTTGAGCCACATGGAGGCGGTCTGCCTCCAGGTCGGCTTCACCATCATCGGGATGGGGGACTCGGCGCCGTAGCCGAACGGCTCCTCGGCGCGCGTCGACAGGCAGAACACGCCCCGGGCGCTGCGGCGGTCAACGAAACGGCCATCGGGTTAAACATCGTCTTTAGCGTTTGAGCAGTCTACGAAAACTAGGATGCGCGGTGTTCGCGCCTCTAAAGGCGAACGGCAAAGACGACAGTCAGCAAGCTGACTACTACTCACCTCCTCGGGGTGGACAGTCCCATGGGCACGGTGTCGGCGCTGGTGTCCACCTCGCTGCACGGGTCGGCGTGGTGGGTGCCGTGCCCGGCGGCGGCGGCGGGCAGCGCCAGAAGCGTGTCGTTGAGGAGGATGGACTCCTCGAAGAGGTAGTAGGCGCGGTTGTGGCTGCACTTGCCGGCTGAAGGAAGGAGGGTGGCAGAGAGAGAATGAGCAATTGCGTATCGTGATTTCGGTGCGAAACGAGCAGCGGAACACTATGTTTCCAGTGATGGCGAGGAGCCGGCGTGTGCGTAGTTCCAGGGTAACCACCGCCACCCGGTCTTCCCGGTCCACCCGGCCCCGCGCCGCCTGCCGGAGCCGCCGACACCGCGCCGGCATCAGGAAGGAATCAACAACTATTTGTGGGCATGACGATCAGGCGGTGACCGAATCGCGCCGGCGTGTCACGGCGGCGCCGAGTGGAGGACTCGTTCGGGTCGCCGTACCGAAAGCGTTGAGCGACGACAACACGTCGTATGGAACTCACTCGTCATGTCCTGGACGGCGCAGCCGGGCTGGAAGCACACGCCGCCGTTGGGGTAGAAGTCGACGTGGCCCATGGCGTCGTGGAAGCCGAACACGTTGGCGCACGTGTGGATGATGTCGACGAAGGCGGCGTGCGTCTTGCTCAGGCTGCGATCTGCTCCCGTCTTGAACAGCGGCCCGGCGGGGTCCAGTCCTGTGTGGAGCACAGAGAAGTACGTTTAGGGGGGGGGGGGGTGAGACTTAGAGACCTGCAAAGAGCAAGCTACCCGCGCTAAACTCCTTTTCGACAGGCGGCGCCTCCCGCAGTATGCCTACCGGTGATCCTGTTGATGGTGCCGGGGATGTAGTTGGCGGCCAGCCCCGAGATGTGCGCGCCCAGGCTGTGGCCCACGATGTGCAGGTCGTCGAGGCGCATGCCCTGCCGCTTCACCAGGTACTGCACCAGGTCGGCGAGCTGGCGGGAGATGGCCGGCACCCGCTTCACGGCCACGGGGTAGACGAGCGTGTCGACGCCGTGCCAGTTGGCGATCACCACGTTCACATCCGACGTCTTCAGGAAAGCTATATAAAGACAAAGCAGGCGCGTCCATCATTGAAACTCTTGAGAAATCAACACTTACTTAACATTTTTTTAATCAGCTACGTTATTATCGCAACATGAATGGATGTTTTGTTCTGAAGAGTCACCCACACCCACCCACACAGATAGCGCTCAGCTCTGATTCCGTGAAACCCGTGCCTACGAGCACCGCGTTGTGACGCAGAATCGCACAACAGGGCCTCCTAGGGTGATTCCGGGTAATTCTGACTTGTCGTGCAATCTTAGCATTACGAACAGATTCGTATAGGGATATTGAGACCGGCCTGAGCTCGCGCCAAAGAGTTGCGGGTCAGCCGAGGGGTCAGCTGTCCCCAAAAGTCTCCCCAGCGGGGGAAGGACAACGGACAGGACAGGGGGAACGTTCAGTAACTCCCGCGGTTTTTCAGATCCTCATCTTCATACATGCGCCGATCCACTGAGAAGCGTGATGTGGCCATTCTGTCCGACATTCTCCCTGACCCGCACCTGCCTCCATCTACGCCGAGTATAACTCACCCTTCTTGAGCGCCTGGGCGTGCGCCTGGCGCCCGTGCCAGCCGTGCACCAGAACTTTCGTGGGTCTCTGCGGGTCGAAGCTCTCGAGGTCGTCCGGCAGGTCCGAGACCGTCACGACGTCCCCCGGCGTGTCCCGGTTCTCCCTAAGGAACACGCGGGCCCGTTTTTCAGAGAATACAGTATTAGCCGGTATTGGCCTACCCGTGTTATGTGCATTCGCCCCACATAGCTGAGTCGTACTCAGAGAAAGAGAGGGCGGGTAGCTCTATACTCACCTTGAGTAGAATTCGAAGGACACCTTGTGTGAAGCCTCATTGTCCATGTCATTCCACTGCCATGGCGGCAACTTCAGCGCCACTGCGGCTAAAACGCGGAGAAGGGAAAAGGCGTTGATCAAAGGCGCCCCAACACTGTCCTTCCAGGCAGGGCGTCGTAACGTAACGCATGTAGAAACGCTTAAAAACAAAAATCAATTTTTAACCTGTCAAGCGTTATTAAAGCGTTGTCAGCTCCCTTAGTCCGTTTCCCACAAAAAACGCGTTTCGGAAGCTGAAAACGCTTTAAAACGCTAAAAAAGTTGAATATAGATTTTTGTTTTTATTTTTAAGCGATTCCATGTGCGTTACGTTACGGCACCCTGCTTCCAGGAGACTGATGATTGTGGATATTTTTTTTACGAAACTAACTTAAAACTGATACTGATACCCCCCCCCCCACACACACACAAGAGAAAAACGACACGATTTGTCGTTTTCCAATCGATATTCACGAACCAGACGCGCAGAGGAGCAGGGTCAAAGTGGCAACCGCAGGACTCATGACTGTAGCGAACGGCAACCAGAGACTGACTGGTCTGAAGACGACGGACCAGCTGGCCCGCCCGCCCGACAGCACCCATCACTGGTCAAGTTCATTATCACCGCATTGGCACAATCGTTCGGGATAAGCGGCAAGTGCTCGAGGACGTTTCAGAAACACATAACGCGCTGCATCCGAGTTCGAGACACTTGGCACCTATCCTATCATGTGTGTGGAGTGGGGTCCGGTCCTCTTCAAAGGTAAGATACCGAACCATTTTGCTATCTACCGCTTCACAACACTGTATACAAAGACAACTCGTGAAGACAAGTTACCCCCCCCCCCCCTTTAAACCCTGTCGACTGTCCGTCCTTTAACCCTTTCCCCCTTTTCCTACGTCCGTTTTCGCCCTAAGCCGTTTCTGTACGTGTTGTGTTTGAGAGGGCAAGCGTTGAGATTACCTGTTGCGATAGAACAAATTGTGTGAGGAAATTTGAGCTGACAGTGCTTCTTTGATCTCTACAAGAAGTCAACTGGGCCACCTCATGGGCACACTTGCAACACCTACGACCACCTACGACCATGGACTGTTCGGTGCCAACATGGCAAACGAAACGTGGGAGACGAGCTTTGTTTCACATCCCCAACTCTTAACAACAACTATTTTCTCTGCAGTATGTTTCGTTATTTTTTATTTAAAATGTAATAATAATTCTCTGATGTCTGAGAACATGAACATGTATATCAGAGTCTGCTCTACTCAAGAGTGCTGATTGTTGTTGTTGTTGTTTACATCCACCCCCTGCCGCGCCCCGCTGATCGCCCCGCCCCCATCTCCATTCCTCAACAAACAGTTGCCGCAGCAGCATCGAAGCAACGACAGGCTCCAGGCTCGCTCTGTGTCGGGACGCGCTTGTTGGTGAACAGACAGGGCACGAAGAAAACAGTCAGGCTCTTGAGAGAAGAATCTTTCATTCAGGTAATTATTACTCTGAGCCATACCTTTTTAATTATCTGTCTTGTAAGAGATTCGAAGCTTGAAACGGAACAAGCTGTGGTCTGCCCAGAGGACCATGCTTTTCAGACCTTTGTCCATCCGCGAACTGTGTTATTTAGACTCTGACGACTACTACTTGCTTTGTTCGCTTCGTGTTCCCAAACCGAGCTCATATTCTGAGATTGGATTTTGTTTCTTGTTGCGCAGCACAATGATGGCTGCTGTGCCTCGCCGGTCTCGACCACGTTCGCGCTCGTCGTCGCGAACGCGCCGGTCGACGTCCACCGTGCGAACTGTCGACGGATACGAGGAGAAGGAGGTCCCACCTCCGGGTTGCACTTGTTACAGAGACTATGCAATTGTGTTATGCACAAATTGTGGGTTCACCCACCAGGGGAGGGTGAAGACCGAGTGCAAGGTGCACACCCGCACCATTTACCTGCTAGATATAGCACAGTGTCCCCAGTGCCGGGCCTACCCGCCAATTCTGAAGGAGATACCCAATACCAAATAAGTAGTGGAACTTGTTGAGTATATCCTCACTATTTTTTTAATAATTGTTAATTGCATGTTGACGAAGTTGTTGCCAAATTTGTGCAGTCAACAGTTTTCATAAGAGATACCGAAGTATCAAATTATTGACGTTGCTCTTCTATTCCTTTAGATGCTAGGTCGAGAGTTGTCTTCAAATCTTTTTAGGGTTAAAAATTTGTAGAGACAACAGTTGTATTATTATTTTTTTACTTTTATTAATTTCTAATAAAGTAGTTCAGCAAAATTTGTTTTTTATTTTTATTTTATTGCTCTTTTTCTCATCCTTGCAATTTCAAGGCAAACCTTATATATGAGTTTTAGCTAGGTACAATATCACAGTGGCTTCATTTTTACACTCAAAGTTACTTTTATATACACAGTGCTTTCCAACATGCTATTTTTTCTTTTCTTTTTTAGCATGTTTCTGACTACATCAAAAAAGAATATATAGAAATATTGTACTTGTAATATTTCACAAGTCAAATACATTCACTGTGGAATCTGCTTAATTTAAATCATATTACAGAGTAGTGCATTATATGGAATCTTGGACTCAGTTCAATGTTCCCGTACTATAAAATGGCAGTGACTGGCCTTATTTGAAAGAAAGACGGAAAGTACAAAAGTATAAGGTTGACAGGTTTGTGAGTACTTAAATGCATAATTGTAAGATTCTAAATAATTTAGATGGGAGAAGAATTGCATTTTGAACACAGCTGGCAAAAAAAGCTTTCTGTACAACTTGATCACAGTTAAGAATCAAGAACTTTCAGATCAGTGTTTTCTGCCCTTTAAACTCTAGTGGAAGTGTCATAGATATTTACCATACCTTTGCATAGTATGCTTGCTGTTCATGTGCCACTTACAACTTGAGCTTTGAAATCAGTAATGGGTATTACATACCCTGCTTCTAACTTTTGGTAACTCTAACAAGGGTATTGATCAGCACCTCACAGTTACAGATAACTGGTGGTAGTACATTTTCACTCAATATTACAAGCTAACAAGTCGAGAAAACAGTTGTAATTTAAAGAGCATGAGTCAGCTACTGTTAATTTGAAAAAGGAAAAGAATTACACTGCATCAATTTCAAATTTCAATATGTTTACACGGTTCTAAATATTTGCCTACAATAGACTAGCACAAGTGCCTTAAACTTACACAATTCAACTGGATTTATAATGATATGTACCAGATCATCCTCATCTCTCACACACACTTGCTCTTATAATTATGGTCAAAACTATGATGTTTATAGCTTTATTAAACGAATATAGCAAATGTTAAATAGAAGTTTTCATAGATAATTAAGAATGCAATTTCTATAAAACATACATCTGCTTATGCAGTAAAGGCAGTAGTCCATTGTTAAACTAGATTCTTAAGTGTAAAATAAAAACTTTACAATTACAAAAATAAAACTAATTATGAGTTGTTTGAGATAAGTGAGATCACAAGGGCATCCTTCGAGATACCAAATGGATGGCATGATAACATGGGGCTTGACAACCATGATTACATTTCAGACATGCAGTACACATCCCTGTTCATACAGGGTAAAAGACTACAACATTTTTATCGCTTTTGTTTAAATGTCAACAATAACAAACTAAAATATCTATCAAATCATTGGAAATAAATTGTCAATATTGGTAACAAATGCTTTCTAGTGTTGAGATGAGATTTTTGGTTTGAAAAGCTTCTGAGAAAAATATAAAACTGGTATATATCACATTGCCGTTTCAAGAGGCTGACTCTTACTTCGGCTGGCAGGGGTCATAGCACTGGCATTTGAAGGTTTTGAGCTTGGTGGAGCATAGACATCAAAGTTTGTCTCAAGTAAGACTTCACTCTTTGATCTTGAAGGGGGATGAGGTGGTGTTGGAAGTCCAATCTCATTTGCAGCATTGTCTATACCACTATCAAGCACCATGTGAGTACTTTTTGGTCTTTCTTGTAGATTATACATAGGTTCTGATGAACCACTAGTCGACTGATAATATGGTTCTGGGGTGGCTTTTGCAGAGCTATAATAGGTTTTTGGTGAACCTTTTGGATCAAAGTAAGACTCTGACACTTCTCTAAGACGTTCTCTGTGGTCATAATATGGATCTGGTGTGTCAGTAGGCCGATATGTAGCCTCACTTCCATATGCAGGAGTAACAGCTACATCAACCCCTAATGTGGAGTCTGTCATCCCAAAACTTGTGTTAAGGGGGAGAGTTGAAGCATTGGTGAGGTAGTCTCCTCCTTCACTTGGGCTGTGACCTCCACCCATTTCACTTCCTAAATTGAACAGAATGAAAAGAATGAGTAAGAAATTATGTTTACAAAACAAGAAAGAGTAAGAAATTATATTAACACAGTGAGAGTTAGACCCTGATCTCAACACCTTACCTGCTGTTGATTGCCATAGACTGTTGTCCCGTGATGCAAAGGTAGAATTATCACGGAACCCTTCATTACGGAATGAGAGATCAAAGGCTGGATTCACAACTTCTCCAGTAGATCGTAAGTCAGATGGTGTTGTATATGCATATCCTCCACGAGCATCAGTAGTCTGTAACAGTGGCATACTACTCTACAAATGGCGTCCAACATTAAATTAATTGTTACACATCTATATTTTAAAAGATTTTTTTTAAGAGGATGCATTTTAAGCCTTAAGGGTGTAGATAAAATAAGTTGTGTGCTTCAAGCAAACATTAACAGTGAATTGTACAACAGATAATACATGGTAAAGACTATATGCACTACAAATTTAATGTAATAAAAGCAAATGTATGCAAAAACAAAATGTAGGCATAAATTGAATGAGCAGAACTAATTACAAAACAAAAATAAAATTTTCAAAAAAACAATCCTTGATAGTTGAATCATCTCACCATTTGCCAATGAATGTAATTTCATTGTTCTGTGGTGGTGAGAGGAATCATAGCCTCCTGACAAAGACCCAATTCACATTGTTTGTGATTGATATTTAATAACCATATGAAATATCCAAAAATGGAAGAATTGTAGAATTATGATTACGCTCTGGAGAACTTACCATGCCTGCAGCCTGAGGATTGTGTGTTTCATAAATATCAAAGCTTTGAGTGTCTTCTACGGATGAATTAAATTGTGATTTGTCCATAGAATCTAGACTTCCATTCATCTTTTTATAATCTGAGCCTTTAGTCAATGTAGGGCTTGAGCGCTGACTGTTGTGTGCTCCTGTGAACTGTGAGTGAATAAGAAAAAATTATTTCATACATAGCATGTGATTTTGGCTCTAAAAATACAACATGCTATGCTCTACCATGTGCATGAGCTAAATATCTATTACAATAAGTTAGATTTTAAGCTTACTGGTTCTTTGCGTCGATATCCTAACTCTGAAAATGTTGTTCCATGAACAGAACCAAGAGAACGAACAGAGTGAAGGGACTGTCGAATGGAATTCCTTCTTTGGAAACGTTCTTCCTGCCGTCTTCTAGACTTGGTGAACCAGAAGCCAGCAGCTAATGCTACCAAAACCAACGCAGCACCCACTATACCCAGTACAGCTATTGTGACAACATCCTCACGCCAACTTAAAATGTCAATATGAACTCTTGGATCTGAAAAAAAAATTCAATGTAAGCCATGTGATATACTTAAGTAAAAATTTCATTTGAAAAAGAGCTAAAATACCAACCCATTTCACAGATGAAAGGATTTAAGCGCTCACAGTGATCAACCTCTACTGTCTGATATGCAAAAGCTGTACACTGATTAATGCGATCAATATTTTGGACCCACACATGGTGGCGCAGCTGGAAACCTTGTTGTTGGCGCCTCAAAAAGTTATACAGTTGCACATAGTTGCTCATAACATATGGCATTGAAGCATTGGCAGACTAAAGAGAAATAAAATGTTAAAAATGTGGAAATTGTTGAAAGAAGCTAAATGCAGGGGCAGTAATTTTATAGAATAAACTTACGCGACAGAAATTGCGAGCATCATGAAAGGTCATTGGAGCTCCTATGTAAATATAGCAAGTATCCCCAACAAGTGCCCAGCCAGGGGGACATTTTCCACTCAAGACAGTCAGGTTATTCATGTGGTAGGGTCTAAAGTCAACTTCCAATAGATCAGGATCATCTGCCCGATCTTTGATGCGACCCAAAACTGCTAAGGTTTCATTGTAACCCCACCAGTTGTGCTTAGCATCTATTGGTGTTTTCCACACATCTAGACTACTGTTGGGTACAAAGAAAAAAAAAACATTATAAAATATAAAATATAAACAGGAAAAATCGGAAACACATATGATAACTGAAGAAGGTGTCAAATAATGTACATATCTGAACTGTCACAGTGTTTAAAACAGGCTTACCTGGAAATGCCAGCTCTGTGTTCCCATCACGTTAATGTGCACCCAAAGAAAAAAGATAAACAACATGCCATGAGTACAGGAGGGGAAAAGAAAAGTGCATATACCATCACCATAAGTCATATATAACAAAAATAGATATAACACTAAAATTAACAATAATTCACTTCTTCAAAAGCAAGGTGTGAATAGATTTTGACAGCCTTTTTAAAAGAAATTTGGGGGAAATGTACCTACTACTGATTTATCTACTGTACAGAAATTGAAGCAAACCTTCACCCTAAGAATTTGAGTGCCAGTAAAAGCTGTATTTAATATTGAGAAAGCATAAAATATATATAAGTGTAAAATAAACAAATCTTACCGCGACCGATTTACTGTGACAATTTCATAATCATTATCTGGATCAAAGAGCACATTGTCTACATAGTGTTGGCCTGCCGTTCCTGCCACAATAGTTCCTCTTGATTCTCGATCCATGGCATAGTTACTGAAACATTAATACAGTTCCTTTAAATTGTTATGCTCTATGGGTTTTAATGACCACATACTGATCACATTGTACTTACAAGTAAAATCCATTGTGAGAGGTTGTTTGGTAGATAGGAAGACGTACTTTTTCAAATCCAGAAACTTCAAGAATGTGGCCTCCCCAGTTACGGTGTAAGTAATTATAAGTAAAATTGGACACAACCTGTAAATTACAGCAGCAAATGTTGACTCAACTCACAAACACAATGGACTAGAAAGAGAAGGAAAGTAATATTGATGGCATACCTGTTTCAAAACTATCACATTGTGATATGGTGAATAATTTCTAGTGAAGTAATTTCGGTAAATGGTAACTTCCTGATAGGGTGAACTCTGCCTTCCCTCCACATATAGTGCAGGACGATGAGCATTATCAGAGAAAAGATTGTTGTGAACCCAACCTTTCAGAGCTGTGGCTGAGCCACCAGAGTCTGAACGAATCCATAAGCCTCCAGTATTGCCTTCAACCAGATTATTCTAAACGACAAAGCAATGAACACAATAGAGGAGTGATATCCATGAAAAATACATAAAGTAGAAGAAAAAAAGGGATTTCTCACCCTGAAGAATATGTTTTGAGTGTTTTGGACATCCATCATAACAGCTGCTTCAGCACTTGTGAAATTTCCATAAAGCTTGTTTCCATTGCCTCGAATCTGATTCCACTCTAAAGTCACGGCTGGATTGACTTCACCCGCACTGACATAACTAACAGCGCCTCTTTGATTATTCAGCATGGCCGAGAATGAAATGTTGTGCTGCACATCTCTATCTGTAAATTTATACAAAATGAAGATAAGTAAAACAAAACCTTGGGGGGAAAGCAGTAAATGGTGGAAAGGACATATCACAAAAATAAAGACAGTAAAAAACTTACTGAATCCGATAGCAGAAATAGGTAAGGTGACAATTTCAGCTATAAAGCCATGAATATTGCTACCTCCATTAGCAAACAGTTTCAGACTGAGCTTTGGGCCTTGTGTTCTAAAAAGTTTTCTCTCCATTCCACCACCAACCTGAATTGTGGCAAGAACACTTGCAGAGATGTTGTAAATGTCTCCATCATACAGAGTTATACTATCAGGACGGCCAGGGTGAGCAGATGTATTGAATAAGTTGAACTGAAGCAGCCTAAAACAAAATGAAACACAATGGTAGAGTAAATATTACCTGGGTGTCTTAAATTTTAAAATGTCAACAGTAAATTATACCTAAATCCAAATGGTTTCACATGATATACACTGTTAAATATCTTCACACAGTTGACAGCATGGTTGTCATATTTGTAGTACACTAAAACTCTTTCCTCTATTGTGACAACTTTTGTAGGGTCACAAATATCAATGAGGCTGAATACATGGTAAGGAATATTAATGTCCCTTAATGGGTTAAAGGAACTTTCTGATTCTCTACCTTCACCAGTCAAAGTAAGAGCATTGACTCCTACTCCAAGTGTATCCTCAATTCTGTAAGTAGGGAAAGAAATTAATTGAAATTTTAACCCAAACATACACAGTAGCAAACAAAGTGATGTATTGATTTCCTTACCTATTGAAAAGAAGGCGCACTGCCTCTGAGGGAGATATCATGTTTATACCATGAGAGGCACATCTTGACACATTGACACTCATAATTGTGGGTGAGCGAACCACAGCTTGAATAGCTGGGCTCTTTTCATTATGTAAGATACCTGCTCCAATTATTTTCACATGTTCCATGATTGATTCTGACCGCCTTGTGGTTTCGTGAGTCACAACATCATGAATGCGATGTTCATATAGATTCTGCTCAAACTCAGCATTTGCAAACCTACAATAAATTAGCCATCAAGTTATTAAGTTATCAAATACAGAAATACAAATACATCAACAAAACTCCCAAAGTTTGTGATAAAAGCATACCTTACACCACCCCAGTAATCCATTGTACCATATAAATTTCTCTGGCCACAGTGAATAAATATAAAGGGACTGTCCCATTCACAACGATGCCGATGGCCATACAACTGACCATTTAGTCTAATGGCACAGTCTTCTAGTTTTGCCTCATCACCTAGTAAAACAAAAAGAAAACAAAATTGAAAAGTTTAGGCATTTTTCTTTTTTAAAACATCAAAACCACTTTAATTTAGTTCTATTCTGTACTTACCTTTGCATTGAAGAGGCTCAGGCCATGACCAAATTCTTGTTAATGAATTGAAATGAAATTCAACACGAGTGCCATGGTTGACAAACACATTAAGTGAGTCATAGCCCAGTTCACGGCAAACTACTTGAGCATTGCGCTCAGTGAAACGGTCATCACACATTGGAACCCATTGCAATGTGGTGCGATTATAGTATTCCAAAAAGCCTTCATTGGTTTGCTGTGAGCAGTTTCGCCCAGTGCACAGGCGAATGGAATCAGAAAAATGGCCACTGCAAAAATAAATTTGAATAAAATTGTATTAATTTATTAGAATTAATTACTGAAAGTCAGAAAAGATGTAGAAGTGGCAGCCTTTCAAAGAAAATACACAGATATTTTTCAAATGGGAATGGGATTAACTGTAGACATTTTAATATCTTACCTTGCAACATATGGGTATTCAACAGCACGTTTCTTTATCAGATGATTGGATGGTATTTCTGCCACTGGAGATCCAGGCTGAGCCATTGTGGGTCCATTATGACCACGAATTTGCAATGGTTTCATTACAATTTCCAGATCTCTTCTTCCTTGGGCACGCATGGTCCCAAGCACTAGAATGCCAACATTTGGAGCAAATTCCATAACTACCCCGGGATCAATTGTCAGAGTAGCATCAGGGAGTATGGTGATGTCAGAATAAATTTGATATGGTTCTGGACGATAAAATAGCCGAAGGGAATCCTTGTACCTTCCACCTAAGTTATTTGTATCAACTATTGATGGCTGCTCAAATGACACCTGTCAAATGAGAATTGTAGTTTTAAAAATTTGCTCTGATAAATGTAATAGGGCAGTATTAGCAGAACTGATGTGGAGAAAAGGCATACCGAGAGTGAAGAATCTATGTTGTCCTGTAGCAAATACGGTCTAAACTCTGCCTGTGCATGATTATTCCAATCATCAAAGTCAAATATTCGTTCACGGATGAGATGGGCATCTGATGTTCCCCACCAATTTTCAGAAACATCCACAGCACTGGCTAACTGAGCAGTGCGAACTCCAGCAACAAGCACATAATCAAGTTCATTGTTGGAAAATAAATTTCTCTTTACTCTTACTTTTTGTATTCCATGAAAGCCAACAACACAGCTCGGAGAACGATAAACCTAAGCAGAAAGAATGCAAGATGTAGAAATTGCAATAAATGCCTGAACAGAACAGATAGGTCAACAGTTTTTTTTAAATCTGAAAGTATACCTGGAAGTAACCACGCTGAAGTGGTGCATTATCGCGGTTATGGCGAACCTCATTTTCCACCATTACAGCATCTACATTGCCCATAATTTCAGACTGGCTGTCAGCTCTGAATTCAACCATGTAAGCTCCGGTGTTACGTTCAAAACGGTTTCTGGAGGAAAGAATATACAAAAAGATGAGAAAATTTTAGGATTGTTTTGATTACATTTGTGCAGAAAAGGTATGTTCATATTATACAAGTTACCTGTAGATGTTCATTCGCTTTTCCATCCCCCTGATTGATATCAGTCCTGTTTTACACTGGTTTGAATCAAATATATTCTTTGTCAAATTCAAAGCAGCAAAATGACCATCAATTATGAAAGCAAAGTTACGATTGTCCCTCCAGGTATTGTTTGAAAGGAAAAATGAGTGAGTGTAGTTTTCATTATATTGCCAAACATAAGGCAATGAGACATCAAATCCTCCCCCTAAATTTCTCTCAATTGAGTTATCAAACAGGATCCAATGGAATAAATTATTGGAACTTCTCATATCCCTGTAAAAATGTTGATTAAAAATGTTAAAAAGACATAGTCATACCTTTACTTGATGATAACTGCCACCACAATTACATTTCAACACTCACCTGCTGAACTGATATATGCCTCTTCCATTGTCAGTGATTAGAGAGCTGTTGATTGTGATAGTAACCTCAGACAGATTAGATTTATGAATATCCCAAAATGGTGAGTGAATATGCATAGCATCCTCCTGGTTGTGAGAAATGTCACAGCCAATCAGTTGAATACTTTCATTTGCTTTACGAAGGAAGTGATCTTCATGTTCTGTGAGATATCTGTTGTAATATGAGGCCCAGACACCACGTCGATTTCCACGGACTCGTGAATTTGTAACAGTAAGAGTTGGAACCGGACCGCGTACCAGTCGCAAACGCGGGTCAGGCAATGGAACTATGAAAATAAACGCACAACATCAATACAAATTTTTAACATTTCATAGTAACACTGCAAAATTCATATGGAATACATACTCTGGACAGATGACAAAACGAGAACACAGCCTCCAAGAGCATCAACTCCACTGTCATATTCAATGACAATTCCATATGAACTACTTGCAGCAGGGAAAATAGTCTGGTCTCTTTTGACATTCCATGCTGCAGCCAGAGCAACACCAGTAGGACTGTGCGCATCTCTTACAATTATTTCCTCAGTACTTCTGTTATGTATAGGGTTCAAAAGCTGAACACCAATAACAAAGCCTGGTTTGCACTGTGAACATTAAAGAAAACAACATATTGTTTAAGGATAACTTCATTCTCAATGATACAAAGATTAAACCAGAAGCAATAATAAGTTACCTTAATGAAAAATGATCTTTTTATTGGGTCAGTAACAACTCTTTGAGTAATAAGATGGCGTGTTTCCCAGTCATCCAGCTCAATATTAGAGAAAGTGTGGGGAACATAAAGAGGGCTGTATGGAACAAACTGAGTGGCTAGGTCAGCTGGGGGTTTGAACCATCCTGCTAATTCACGCTGTTGTAGTGCAGATAGGGCTGGATTGTGACGAATGCCAGCCTGTTTGTTGTTTTCCATAGTTGAACCTAGAAAAATGTTTAAAAAGTCAGATACGCTTGTAGAGGGCATGCCACTTTTAATTTTTTTACAGTTTTACGTATGGAATTTTGCATATATATTTATACTCACCAAAGATTTTAAGTCCTAATTGCTTCAGACTGACACCACTTCCTCGGTTGTTGCTGAATTCACAGTTTCTTACTGTGTTTACTCCTCCGGATGAGTAAAGATCAGAGTAAATCACACCTAATCCATCTTGCATGTTGTCTACAATACGGACACTTTCCAAAGCATGCCGGGCAAAGTCAATTTGGAGAGCTGCATAAAGAAAATATAAAATTTCAAAAATTTTAACAGGGATGAGAAATTTTCAAAATTATTATTTAAGAATTACCAGGCTTGAAAGAATTTGTGGTATAATCTAAAAGGCCAGCCTTTTCCACTGTAATAAATTGTAGATCCGCTCGTTCAGCCACTACCCCTAAGCGCACACCAGCCCAGGAAGTATCATAGCATCGAAGTCCTACATCATTCTCATGGGTGCATGAAAACTCAAATTCGTCTGGTCTTTCAGCACGACACTGGGTGATATCTGTGTCATCATCATCACACCTCACATTGCTAAAAATTTAAAAATTAGGTGTAAAATCAACAACTTTTCAACTAGATTAATTATTTGACAATGTTTTTGAAGGGGTACCTCAGAAGGATGTTTTCCGAAGTGCCTGCCTGAGGGATTTCACTTCTTTCCAGGAACCAATCATCTGGATTTAAAACTAAACCAAGTTGATGGCATACTAATGCAGCGTCTAATCTGGTCCACCCATAATTACATACTGTACCCCAAGCTCCGTCAATTCGCACCTTGAGAAAATTATAGTTACATAGTTTTGTTAATAATGCACATTTCAATAGTCCATCATTTATATATCTTCCAGTAAAGTTACCTGCAAACGACCTTCTCGATTTGTTCGACCTCCAAGTAATCTAACAGGAGCTCTATTTTCTTCAGGAATCAGTAGTGTTGGATCAGTGTCATTCTCTGGCATATCAATACGTTCCTCACGCAAAGTCAAACGTATGTCATTGGGGCCCTTCCCTCTAGCCTCCAGTCTGCCGGCTACCATCATACCAACTGATGGAGGAAAACGTAGTGTCACACCAGGCTGAAGAACTAATTTGCCACCGGGTCTCACCTACAAAATTAAAACAGTGTGATAAATATTATCTTTAATCTTGTACTACTGAGCTGCACATTAACAAACTTTATTTAGAACTCTTACATTTATGTCACGTTCTACAAGGTATTCACCAGCTCGGAGTGTCTCTTGGCCATCTACTTCCCCACCAACTATGCTAGATCCAGAAGTATGGAACTGAGGAACATAGGTGGGATTTACCGAAATAATAGTAGCACCTGGATTACTACTGTGCAATAAAAATGGCAGATACTCTATCTTTGCCAAGTTATACCGATCCTTTCTGAAATTTTTCATTCAATATGGTAAGAGAGCAAAGTCTGAGATATTAGATTAAATTATTCAACAATTTTAAATTTTTCTAACCTGTGGAAAAGCCGAGAAAAGATCTTTTCTTCACCAGAATAACCAAGCCAATTGTAAGTGCAGTTGATAACTTGACTTTGGTCCTCAAGATGAGAACCAACCTCATAACGGGATTCATGGTTTTCTATAATATTTCTGAACACATCAACATTTGAGGATGATATCACAACCGGAGCTGCTACACGACTGCGCGGGATTAATCTGAAATTCCAAGGGTGTTAAGAGTTAGTTCACCAGTTGTTCGAAGTCTTAATATAAATATGTAATTTTATATTTAATACACATGTGACAGTAGTTACCTCAAAGACTCCCCAATACCCGTCTCGAATGGCTCTGAAATTCTATTATATCTTACAAAATTCCTTGTAAAAAGAAGGTATTGAGTAGATTTTTCAGCATAAGGTGAAAGACCCAAGCTAACAGCAAAGACACCTCGATTATTAGAGAAATCATTATACTGAACTGTTAGACTGACTGGGAACAGTTCTTGCTGTTCTTCACCCTCAATTCTAGGGTTTCTAATCAATAAGCCTCCATAAGCATGGTCTGTGAAGTGATTATATTCTATTTTTCCGTTCATATTAAGAACTGGCTTCAGTTTGACACCCAATCTAGAAAAATGGTAAAATGAGTTATAATCTAGAATTCATTAAAAAATACATAATAGGTACATAGATTGAACAGTAAATACATAACACTAAAAATATATCACCTTTTGTTTTGAACAAATGTGTTATGTCCAATCTGAAGTTTTGTAGGAACAGAGACATTTGACTTCCAGCATGACAGCACCTCCAGTGCAGTGTTCAGGCTGTTATTGAAACCATTACCAGTTATGTTGACAATGGATGGGCCACAGAAATTTCCTACTAGGATTCCAGTGTCAAGATTTTTATAAATTTCAGAGTATGCCACAACAGTTTCTTGATGGAGTGCAACATGCTCAAGATATTTTGAGTCATTGAGCCAGACAGCCATGCCATAGCCTTTGTTAGATGATAACCAAGAGTAACTTATGTTACGGCTTCCTCCAGTGTAACTTATATTGACACCATCACCTACAAGCAAAAACAATATTTATTATGGAACTGATAAGAACACATTGAAGTAGAGCATCATATTTTAATTTTATTACAAACCCATATTGAAGGCAATCCTTGAATCAGTTATGTTGACATCTGCTGCACCACCAAAGACATGAATTCCAGCAACATGATTATTATTGGATACAGATGACTGATGAACATGTAACTGAGATCTTATATTTTCTGCTGCTATTCCTCTTCCATTATTGTCAGCTATTGTAGAGCCAGTCACATTAAGATCATATGCCTTTCCTAAAATAAAAAATGAAGTTAAAAGTTGCAAGACATGGGTAGTTATATCTGGACAAAAAATCAGTATAGTATCTGCGGATTAAAAGATTCTTACTGTAGCCTGAAGTGATCTTGAGGAACCCAATCATTTGAGTTTTGGGTTGCGCTCGGAAGCGAACGTACACATTATGTCTTGTTGTGGTGATACTTTGCGGCTTGGTCCCATTGCGAATCATAATAGTTGCAAGCAGTACATCATTTGCATTTGCTCCATCATACACTTCAATTTTTGCACTGTCATTTCTTCCAGTGACGACTTGCAGAAAGTGTAGTGTCAAAACATGTCCCGGTCGTGTAAAAAAGTACTGGAAATTAATTTTTATCATGATTATTATTTTCACTTTTTTTAAGTTAAGTAAGCCAATATATAAATTTGGATTGATATTTACTTTTGTACAATCCTTTTCAGTTGGTGAGTATTGTCCTTGCTCCAAGGAGATGGTGATTGGAAATGTTTGACTTGCAGTGGTAGGGAAAGTGCAAAAGTCAAATATCTCAGATCGATCAAAGCGAGCGTTTTCATGAAGGTCATGATGAACATAACGAACACCATCTCCACCATTCTCCATGATAAGACAGTTCTCCAGGTGAGCAAGGCCTGATGTACTATTCATAAAAACTCCAATTCCTATTTTTCAAATGAAATAAAAGAGAAAAAAGGGATTTTTATTTTCAATACTTTTCACTATTGTTTCTTGATTTACTTTGCAGAAAAACTATGCCAAATCATCATACCTCTGTTATTGCGGAAAGTACAATTTTTCATTACAATGGGAGCACTGGGCATAGTAACATTAATACCATTATAGGCAGAGTAAGTTACAGCCACAGCTATCATTCTTGGAGGGACACCAATAACATCCACAGCAGATGTTGCATTGTAATCCTGTCCAACTCCAGCATATCTGTCAGGAATTATAATGCTCTTTTATTGTGTTTTGTTGGATAAAATCAAAAAAATCTATGAACTACTATCTGTACTTACCGGATTTCAACATTGGTCAACTCAGAAAGTGACTTCCGTATATATAAAGTGTTCATTTGAGTCAGCATTCTCTCATGTGCTGCTTTCTCGAATCTGATTCCTCTCCAATGATGAACAACATTTTGTGAGGAAACATGAAGAGGAAGGCATTGGATTCCCAAATCAGGATGGTAATCTGAAAGCAAATATAAGGATAATAAAGGACTGGAAATTTATTTGAAAAAATTGATGCAGTCAAATGATGACATACCACAAACACCAGAGCCCAGTTGCCTAGAGTTCCAGTCACACTGCATAAGCTCAGTTTCAGTGCCACGGCATCTAGGTTCTTCCCACAAAAGCCTTGGTTTAACTCCAGGTTGTCGATCTACCCAACCCCACCAGGATCCTCCATGGAAGCCCAAGTGACGACATGCAGTTTCCAAATCTGCTCGTGTCCAACTGTAAAGAAAAATAGATGTGAGTAAATCATATTCAATTGCTACTTCTAAATTTGAATAACTTGTAATTGTCTAAACACGACAAACAAAGATGCAGTCCTCAACAAAATCAACAGGTCATAACCAATTATGAACTGAGCCTATACCCCGAGGTAAAAATATTCTCTTATATTACCAAACATGACAGGATAAAACTGCATTTCTTTCAACAGATGGTTTTAAAATAAAACCTTTGGAAACAAATCTTGCTGCCACTTTTTGTTTGTTTACATCGAGACTCGTCCATCTGTCGATGAGTTTTTCATACTACCCCCTCCACCCTGAGGCGCTGCCGTGGCGAGCGCCTGCGAAGCCCGCGGTAGGCAGCCCGCTCCGCACACATGCTTGGCGGGGCGGTCCCCGGCCCGGCGCCCGGCGCTTGGCTCGGCTTGCGCGTCGGCCCCGGGCCCCTAGTTATTGGGGCGGTTCTGGCCGGGCTGGCTGGGCAGCTCCGGTCGAGAGGTGACTTACTTTCGCGAGTTGGTGCAGACCGAGCGCCACTGGCCGCGGTGGAACATTTGCAGGCGGCCGGCCAGGATGGTGGGGCCGTCGACGAGGCGGAGCGGAGGCACCTCCGGGTTCTCCGCCCCCGCGCCCGGCTGCTGCAGGCTGGTCATCAGGATGCGTTCGTTCGGGGAGCCCTGCAACAGGAGAGATGGGTTAGCTTCATGCCGCCAGGATCCACGATGTGGCGTTTCGGGTGGAGAATAGTCATGTCATGTCCAGGGGTATTTCCGCCTCCATGGATCTTTGGAAACGATAACGGTGTATGGACCTCCCCCCCCCCCCAATTCCTCACAACGGCGGCCGACTCGTTCCCTGCAATAAGTTGAGTACAGGCCAGGCCACTTCTTTTGTCCGCGACACTGGCGTTTTCCCTACGTGACTCTGTGTGCAGTATGATTTGGCGAGGGCGGGGCCGAGGCGGGGCGGCGGTGCCCTATCGGCACGACTGTGCCCGACGACACGCCCGGCCCCGCCACAACACCATGGCCCGGCCACGGCCCGGCCCGGGCTGCGTCGCCGTCCGTGTGCAGCACGGGGTGCAGCACGCTGTGCTGTGCTGGCGAGTACTATTTATTTTCGTGCCGGCAGGTTTGTTTCCAGCGCAGCGAG